CCCCTTCTTCCAAAGGTGATAAACTCTCCTTTTTTCCCTGAGTCCCAGCAAAAGCTCCCTGTTCAGCCAGGCCGGTCGTCTTTCCTGCCAGTTTGTCTTAGGGCACATGGGGACAGCCCACTCCTGCACCTTTAAGATTTCCTTCTTGAAGAACGCCCAGCCTTCCCAGACTCCTTTGCCCTTCAGGACTGTCTCCCATGGGACTTTCCCAACAAGTGTCCTGAACAGGCCAAAGTCTGCCCTCCGGAAGTCCACAGTAGCCGTTTTGCTGGCTCTCCTCCTTACTTTGCCAAGAATCAAAAACTCTATCATATCATGGTCGCTAAGTCCAAGACGGCCACCAACCACAACATCTCCCACAAGTCCTTCTCTGATTGTAAATAGCAGGTCAAGTGAGGCACCTCCCCAGTAGGCTCACCTACCAGCTGCATCAAGAAGTTATCATCCACACACTCCAGGAACCTCCGAGACTGTTTCCTCTCTGCTGTGTTGTATTTCCAGCTGATGTCTGGCAAGTTGAAGTCCCCCACGAGAACAAGGGCTAGCAATTGTGAGACTTCTGCCAGCCGCTTATAGAATGCTTCATCTACTTCATCGTGGTTGGGTGGTCTATAACAGACTGCCAGCAGGACATCTGCCTTGCTGGCCTTCCCCCTCATCCTTATCCATAAGCACTTGAGCTTGTCATCACCACTGTTGAGCTCTATACAGTCAAAACACTCCCTAACATACAGAGCCACCCCACCACCTCTCCTTCCATGCCTATCCCTTCTGAAGAGCTTTGAGCCATCCAGTGTAGCACTCCAGTCATGAGAGTCATCCCACCATGTTTCTGTGATGGCAGCTAAGTCATAGCTATCCTGCTGCACAATGGCTTCCAGCTCCTTCTGTTTGTTGCTCATGCTGTGTGCGTTGGTGTAGATGCACTTGAGCTGGGCTATCGATTTCACTCCCAAAGTTGCCATGCCACCCTCGGGCTCCTCTCTAGCGAGCCTGGTTATATCCCCTCCCCTCTTTGAATGCAGTTTAAAGCCCTCTTGATGAGTCCCGCAAACTTACGCGTGAGAATCCTTTTCCCCTTTGGAGATAGCTGAACGCCATCTGTTGCCAGCAGGCCCAGTGCCATGTAAACCTCCCCATGATCAAAAAAACCAAAATTCCAATGACGGCACCAGCCTCTGAGCCACTTGTTAATCAGTTGGGCTTTCCTGTTCCTTTCAGCATCTGGCACTGTTGTCACCAGCAAAAATCACAGAATTAAACAAAATCAAAATAATTTTATGGCCTCAAATACTGATGTGCACTTGTCACGGAACTCTTCCATCAGTTTCCGGACATAAAGTGATGTAACAGTGAATGATATCTAGCGAAGGTACTGCTGTACAATATATTGCATTGGTGAATTTCACCTCATCTCACAATTCAACTTTTCAACAAAGTAGCTGTTTGCTAGAGCCATGTGGATATCATCAAACAGCACAGGTGAGATGAATCTCAGGCTCTTCCAAGTTCAACCTCAAGTATGCAGTGAGTTGAGAAGGCCTTACAGAATGTTTTTAGACCTCCCAAATTCATCCTACAATGAGGCATTGGTGCAAAGTGAATTGTTCTTCCTCTAGCTGGAAGACAAATGCCACAAATTTCAGCAGGTCTGCCGAATATAAGCAAGAGGTTTCAGTCCAAACATTGCTACCAGGCAGCTTAAAAAATAGCCTGAAAAGTGTTAAGACAAGCACTTAGGACCTCTACAAGCTGATGCGTCCATATCCAATAGTAAAAATCCCTTGTTGGACATTGGTTCTCTGGCACCACATGAATCTCCAAAAAGTGGTATAATGGCTTTGGCTAGTTTTTACAACCAGAAAAAGTTGCTCAGTCTTTCAGAATACCAACTTTTATTTTAAAGACAATTATTACACTCTTACTGAGTATAACAAAAAAAGTTTCTCTATTATTTCCCATAATGGTATATGCTCTGGACAAATCTCACTACCTAGGTTTAAGTCAGGTTTCAGAACAGATTTTTAAAAATGAGGGAGAGAGAGGCAGAAACAAAAACCTGCAGTTACTGAATTATGCTATTTATAAGGACATTAGATATTGACAGTCGTTACAGGAATATTGGGCTTTATGATTTACTAGGAGAATCAGGCAAGATTCAGAATACTTCACAATTCACTTGCTAATACCTTCCTCGGGCTTTGGCTTTAAGATGCTGCTGGGAACGACACCACCTCAAACAATGGAAGTCGGCCACACTAATCATGTCCTGTTTGGCACCTGGCATGATATTATGACAACAGATACCACATCCAAAGTCTTATGCACTTCAGAGATAAGAGCTCAAATGCATCACTGTATTTAAGTGGTTTTACAGCTACTACTGTTCACTCATGAGAGGAGATACTTAGCCAAGACCTGAGGATACAGTGAAGAGCCTCAAACGACTAGAAAGAGGCCATTAACATTATTACATATAAAATGATGACAACTCTCCACTCTTGAATCTGACACTGACTTTGATAGTTTCTGCTTCTCTTGGTCATTTCAGATGACTGAAAACACTTTTTGTACTATCTATATTTTCCAAATTCTACAGGCAAATCTTATTCTGCTGAGAATTCATAGGCCTCCCTTCCTAATCTCCATGAGACATTCTGCCTTAAATGTTACTGTCTTGTTCAGGTTAGCAGTCGGGCCTCTGACAACTCTATACACTACCTTCTGGAGCTGCCCAGCTCCATAGATTACTCGTGCCTGTTTTGCAGATGGGGGAGGGTTGCCATATGCCAATGCAGTAGCAATTTTTGACTCACAGTCAAAATCATCCGAAAAAGTCAGTACGCAGGATTTTCTGCCATATGGAGGAATTGTTATGTGGCCTCTTCTCTAGCTGTATCTCATTAAGCAAAAAGGAAAGAAAAAGGGGAGGACGTTCTTTTCTTCTTTGCAAATCTTGCTCCAGAGTTCATCTTCATTTGAAAGGCAGTGTTCATTTCTGGTACCTAGAAAACCAACTCAGAGCATAAGGAAGTTGTAAAAATCTAGGTGATTGAGGACAGTGTTCTGTCCAGTTCAACAGGTTTTCTTTAAGTCTTTTACACTTTGAATATGACTTCTTTCAGGGAAGAGGGATAACTATTACATTCTGCTGGGCTCAGAAAGACCAGAGTAGAAGAACTGCACCTTCCATGAAGTCTGTAATGGTGCATTACAGTAAAGCTATTTTGTTACTTCCATAGACTGCAGCATTTTGAAGGTGCCACTAATAGCACTTCCCTGATCCTTGTGTGTTCTGCAGTCTGTTTCGCTCAATATAGGAGGTTTGTTTAATCTGAGACTTTGCTGGGATTTTGCCTTTATTTTTTTGTAGAAACTAACACAGTATTAACATAATGCAGACATTTCTGTTTTAACTTTACAGAGCCAATATCATGGCTAGTGTACAAACAGGAAAGCAATCAGATACAGGTTTAAAAGTTATAAAGACATATAGAAACCTCAACGCCTCTCTGCTTCCTTACGATCTTCCTCAATGTAGAAAGATGTCAGAAGGAAACAACCTCCTCCAAAAACACCAACAAAAGCACACACGATGAAGCTGTACTGCATGCTCCAGAAACTCCACTGGAATGAGTGAGCATTCTTGGCCTGGATAGCACTGGAGATCTAGGGAGTGAACAAGGCTGTCGTTAATCTGGGATAACATCATCATTGTCTCTTCGTTTAAGCAGACTGTTTACAGTGTGGTCCTTGAAAAGAATAAAACTAGGCAGATAGGGATGAAAAGCCTGCTACCAAAGTTTGTCAAACCCAGTAGCCAATACACCTGTACTTCACTGCTGTCCAGCTTCCACTTGGTCAAGGAATCTCATGTCCTTTCATACTTTCAGTGCCTCCAGTCACAAGAGTAGGAAATACTGCAACCAATGTTTATAACGTTTGGTAAACATTAACTCATTTTACCATTTTCTAGCCCATCTCCACATAGCTGGCACAGGACAGACATTTGGCAATGACCTTTACAATTTCTTTATGTTATTCGATAACTTTATCCATCCCTGAACAGCATCAAATGGACAGAAACAGGGGATTAACATCAATACAGGCACAAGCAGCACCACTCATTAAAAAAGGAAGAGCTGGAAATTAATTTGAGAGACAAGAGTGGAGTCTGCTTTGGAGCCAAAAGGCATTTTGAGGAACTGGGAAGAAGAAGATACGAGGCAGCTGCTTTCTGCACTGGCTGGAGGATGAGGTTGTAAAAGCTATAAATGAAACACATGAATTTTATTTTTGTAGACAGAAAGAAAAGCTGATTTCAAGAAACTCAATAAGATTCAATACTTAACCCAGGAACGTAAAATCTCGTTAGCATAAACAAAAAGATGAATGTTGAATGCAGTCATTTTTATTCCCACATTTGTTCTTGATGGTTAGAATATGCTACGTGACTTGAAATACACAAATATGAGACTCTTCAACCTTTGCTGGGTTCAGTATGATTATTTATGACAGTTTAGGCAGATAAGAGCAAGATCAACTCTAAATGGGCACCTAGGGACTACAGCAAGCATAATGGCCAAATACAAACCTAATGCATTTAATTTTAAAATGCTTAGTAAGAAAATCTCTGGAGTGCCAAGGTAAGAAAAACAGACTCTGAAAAAGACTGTTCCCTGACTCTCCAGCCAGTTTTTAAGCTAAAGGGTTACCTGAAGCAGGTTAGTAAACAATAGCAAGACATGAATGCAGAAGATTCAGTGGTTAATCAACAGTGGACGTGGGCAGCATTGGTATATTGGTTCACAGAAGCATTCCAGAAGACAATGTTGTGCTCATTGCATAGGACCCACTTGGGCATACTGCAGTTTTATTTCTGGATTTATTGTCTCTGTTCTTTGCAAAAGTTGCAAGGTTACCTGAGGTTAATCTCATCTGGATAAGCTTTTTTTGTCTTCACCCTTTTCGATTAAGTGCTATTTAAGGCAACTGCATGCAAGGTACTGCATAAGAAGTATTCTGCACACAGTTACTAGGAGGATGCAGCAGCACATTCAGCAGGAAGCCTCAATTCTGCCTGTGCCTCAAAGATGGCAAAGAACAGTGGGCAAGAGATACAAACATTTTTATCTTTCAGGCAGGAAGCATAAATCAATAAAATAGAGTCAAAGGGAGAATGCACAAGACATATTTCAGCTTTTAAGACACCTCCCATTTTTGCATATAATTTCAGCCATTTTTCATGACACAGGGATGTCGGTTATTATGTTCCCCCATGCATACAGCCAAATCGGTGTGAGGGCAAGAGTTTCATAATACACACCAATGAACAAAATTGTCTCTTCGTTTGCCAAAAAAAGAGAGCCAGCAGGAAGAATCTCTCAGTGAGAGAGGGCTGTCCTCTGTGCCAGACAGATTACACAGTTGAGATTCCGGCTTTCACCCGGTTGAGGACAAGGGGGATCTCCTGTCTGGCTGTGCCTGCAGGCGCAGCTCACTCAGGCATTTCTGTCTGGCCCTGTCTAACCCTAACACTGTTAACATGTGACAAAGAAAGAACAGATATTCCTGAGGTGAACTTCTTGAAATAAAATTCCATATAAACAAAACCTTAAACCAACACCACCACCGCCACTCTCTCTCCCATGTCCAGTAAAGCAGAAAAATCAAAGTGGGTGATCGGTTAGCTACTGTGTGCAGAATTACTGTGTCTTAAATCAAAAATAATGAAGGAAGGAAACAACACTGACAGATACCATCGACTGGAACTAAAATAAATGAACTGAAAGGAGAAAACAGTACTAGGCTGTTTTGTCCAGAAGCACCTAAGATCAAGTAAATGTAGGAAGGGTAGACAAATCAGGTCTCAAGCAATATGGGAATCCAAGGTTAAGGTAATTTGAGACTAGAGCTTTGAATGCCAAGTAGTATCAAAAGGCAACCATTGCAGTCACTCTTGTTCTGATTTTCAAGAGACCACTGACTAATTGAAAGATTTCAAACCTTAAGATTTGAACTAAGAGCTTTAGGTTTCAAGATATACAATGGTTTTTGATTAATTGCCATGAAACTCCTCCCAAACTTAGCAGAAAGTGCTTAAATCCAACACCTATGACACTGTCTTTGAAAAAAATGTATGCTTTCTAAAATTTATGAGTTTGCATATTTAAAATCAAAATAAATCTCTACTCACTGCATGGAACTACTCACACCTACAGGTATAGGATTATATTCTACACACCTGCAGTGTCACAGGACCAGAAGTTGCATGCACATAAAAATGTTTAGAAAAATGTCTTTCTGTATCCTAGTATAAAGGCCACCAATTTGAGTAACTTCTAATTTGGACCAGGAAGTGCCTAGAATCTGTGAGTGTCTGTCTTTCAGTTTCTAAAAGTTTTACCCTAAGGAAAGCTCAATAAGCAGAGAATTCACTTACAGTCCCAATGAGATATGGGCTGCCTGCATCTCCCAGCAAATGGCTCACCAAAATCTGCAGGGCAATAGCTGTTGACTGCCGTCTTGGTGTCACAACATACTGAAACAAAACACAACCCACAAGAGAACGAATATTAACAGAGTGAATCTCACGAATGGCCAACTACTCATATAACATCCTAGAAAGATGAATATATTCATTTTTATATATCTCTCATTCAAACACTGTTTACAAGGTTGGAGACAGAGAAGTTATTCTGAGCAAAAGAGTATACTGGATGTTTTGTTGAGGAAAAAAACATTCAAGAAAGCAACACACAAGGCGAAATGACAATAAAGTAGGAAAAACATGACTCCCTTGCCTCTATTCATGGGCTCACAGCAGCTTGTACAGATTCACTGGGCCATGCAACTAGTAGAAATCTCCAACCAGTAACCCGACCAGTTGTACTGATTTACTAATAAGGAGATTCAGCACTGACAGCCTCTGAGAAAAATCTCTTACGACGCTGTGTCAGCAGGCACAGGCTGGACTGCGGGGCAGGGGGAACTGCGGTACCTGGAACCTGAAGTAGCTGCCATGCCATACAGGATATCAGCTGAGACCTTGCAGACGATGTGAAGACAGAGGGAGGGGGCCCAACCTGGCAGACCAGAAGGTGGCTGACGGTGCTTGGCCGATAGCTCTGATGGCAGAAGTTTGCTGCATGTAACTGGATAGTACCTGAGATATAGCTAGCCTAGTAACAATACCTCAAAATGATTATGCTTTTGAGTGCGCACAGTTTAAATAACAAGTTGAAGAACAAGATGTGGCGCACATCCAGAACACAGCAAAGCTTCACATAGATTAGAACTATTTTTTAAAATGAAATATAGTCATTTTGGGGTAATAATGGCTTTATGTCTGTGCTACTAAAGATCAACTGTGCCTGAAGAAGTACAGTAGGATTCTATAAAATTTGTGTGTCTCTCTTTCCATAATACATTTATGCAAAAAAGCATTCACAGTCAGAATGAGACAGAAGCAATTTCAAACCTTCATACCTTTGTTTTCCAACCACTTGTTTATATCAGAGACAAAATGCTTAATATTATCCCGCTCCTCTATACCCTAACTTGGTATTTTTGGAAACCGATCTGAACATCAATTAGGGTGTCCCAAACACTAATTAATATGGTGACTGGTGTTTTACCAAGAGTCAAACTCAAGGTATATAAGCTATTGTGGCTCCATAGCTGCCTTCAAAGAAACACTAATATGCATGACAAGCTGGGTTTAGAAGGAAAAAAAAGATCCTGCTCTCACATTTAACTTAGAGTTTTATTATAATTCTTTGTGTTTAAAGAGGCCTCAGAATATTAGATAAAAAAATATTTACCTACCACTAAGAGATATAAGCTATATCACAATAGCAACATCATTGTCACATCTTCAGGGTGGGTGGAACTCCATTAATGGCCATTAAAACAGGCGGGTAAGGAAGCAACATTGTCCAAGACACCAAGGTTAATTACTCTTGTGAGAATAAGAGCAAAAAATACTTCAGTGCCACATGCAGTCAGGACCTATACATGCCAGTAAGTTACAGCATTTTAACTATACTGAAACTACAAATCCATAGCACAGATGCAGAAACAGGAAGGACAGTAAGCTATATTAATGTAATGGTTTGCATTCAGGGATGGATTGACAGCGGATGCTGTAGCACTGCATTCCTTTCCCTCTTGCAGCCCCCCATCTGCAGGAGCTAGCATGAGATACATTCTTGGTATGAAGACTGGAGCACATACAGAATCAAAACACCTAAAAAATGTTATTTTTATAAAAACCCATTCATAGAATAGTGCACGATTCACATCTTGTAGTTTAAGTATCATGCCAAGTTTTTTCCATTGCTATGGTTTTTGTGCTGTATGTCTCTTTCACAAACCTATTTCTACCGTTTTTTCTCATGTTTAACAAGATGCAGGTGCTGCAGAGCCTTTCCCTAAAATGCAGCTCTTCTGGGCGGTGCCAATTTGGATACTTTTTCTCAGCAAGGTCACCTATTTTCACAAGGCTTGCAAGAACTTGGGTCTTCCTGAGGCGTCTAACTGTTTATCAAACTTGGTTGAAATCCGTGGTTTCAAAACTTAAAGGGAAAGCAGACACTGACTGTAGTAAGTCTTGTTTCCTTAGGAAGTGAGGCTATGAATCCCATTTAGATTTAACAGAGCATTTGATCTAAAATGAGAAAGAAAATAGACAGATTTCCCCCAACACAATTAGCAAAAATTATAGCCAACTTGGCTATCTGTCCTCTTATCTCTGCCCAGTAAACCCTTCTCATAGCCAGGGTTTTCTAAGCAGTAACATGCCTTACACCTTGCTGGAATGCCAGAAACACAGCAAGGAGCAGTGATGTCCTTTTTTCTACAGCCAAATTTCCTATGTTCAGAGAGGGAGTTTCTCAAGAGCTCAT